GATATGAGTTGAGAACTTTCGCTACCATGCCAAATTACTTGTATAGTTTTGTACCAAGTCAATACGTCTTGCAGAACCGTTGAAAACGAAAACAAACATTAAATGTTATTATTGGATATGAGTTGAGAACTTTCGCTACCATGCCAAATTACTTGTATAGTTTTGTTCCCAAGTCAATACGTCTTGCCAGAACCGTTGAAAATGCAAACAAACATTAAATGTCATTATTGGATTTCCTGTACAGCAGAGCATGCTAAAGATCATTTCAATATTAACACTCGTCCAAAGTTAACAAAATATAATCTGCCAAATTGAAAAGGTTTAAGTTAGGTAATTATGGCTCATTGTGTACCAAACCTGGGCTGAATCTTAATACAGTTGTGCCCATGATATCAGCCCTATAAACTGTAAAGAGTGATAACAGCCCTATAAGCAGTAAATAGTGATACTCCACAATTACATAATACTAGCAGTAACGCGGCCCTACAAGCGGCTGTTTGTACTAGTAATTACTAATCGTAGTATCATATCTCATTGAAAAACAATTTAGAAAAAGTGAACATTTTTTAAAAAGGATTTTTTCTGGGAAGTAATGCACGGAAAAAAAATGTTCGGGTTGTACTCTTTAGTCATACGCAACTCACTGCATCAAAATGATTCAATGTACAGAGCTCAAAATTTTCATAATTATTACTGATATAAACTGTATTTTTATATATTAACAGTGGTACCGTTTATTGAAAAAAAATTTTTTTAAGAACTCCAGTTTCTCAATACTATATTTAAAATTTTTATCAATAAAGATATAATCAAACCCTCACACACAGCCCTAGTGAAAGTCGTGTTCTTATTGTGAGGAGAGTACTTTTATTTAAAATTATAAATACATGGTTGTTGCATATACCACAGTTATTTTTCTAATTATCTGGATCTTGAATACTCAAAGTGTAAAATATTTTATGGATTTGTGTTTGTTTTGCCATTCAGTAGATGGCGCAGGAGTTTTGGTTACATACATAGCCACTGACATACACGCTACATCCATTATAGTAAGATATTTGAATATATTCATGATTCTTAGTCTAGATAACAAACACGTGACCAGCGTCTTTCACATTAATGAGAAGCAAGCGAAACATCAGATAAAAACAGCAGTGATGTAATCATTTTTGGTTTGTATAATTACCTGTAAGGACGCTTAGGGGGGATCTAAATTATTTTTCATGATCTGACAATAAAACTTTTGTGAGTATAGTACAGTAGTGACTTGTACTTTAATACTTAGTGATTGCTCGTAATAATGAATCATTACCCGTATTACATGCCAGGAACTAAACTGTTTTTAAAGCATTCATAAAAACATTAAGAGATTCTAAACTTTTCAGGGTCATATAGATACACCATGCACTGGTATCTGATTTTGATTTTCATAACATATCAAAATATGTATCACAAAATGTATAAATATATACCTCAATACATGGTGTGTGTGTGTGTGTGTGTGTGTGGTCGGAAGAAACAATAAAATGTATGCAGTATACTTATTTAAGGAGATCATTCCTATAGTTTTAATTAAAATAAAGTTTTATACTTGTCATGATATAAAAACTGTTTCGTTCAGATAGTATTGATTAACTTAGTTTTGTGAGGGAATATTTTATTATTGTTTAGTTTTTGTTATAATAACAGTTAAAAGCAGACGATTGTAGGAAGTTTTGTTAATAATTCATTGACATCGAGAATATAGAAAGTGGACAGACGATTAAGTAATAAAGATATAAATAGCGTGAGATGAGCGAGAACCAGCAGACAGATAATAGCAAAAGAGAATAAAGTTGGTATGAAGTTAACTAAGGTAGAAGTGATAGGCCTAACGTTTAATATGTTAGAATGAAACTAACAGTAGAAAAGAAGATAAGAAAAATCATTTTATTCCCTCAAAGTGTGGTTCTAAAGTAATTGAATCAGCCTGAGTGCACTTTGACAAAAGGAGCAGAGGATCTTCAAAAGAAAGAAGACCAAACGATTACGGTAACTCGCGCCACAATTGTAAGTGAATAACAGAGAATACTAGTGCTATAGAAATAGAGAAGATAGTTCGGCTTGTCAACTGAAATTTTAAAGTAATTGAACAGACCTAAGTGGATATTTGACAAAAAGGAGAGAACTATAAATATAGTATTTATGATATGTCCATAATATCTATAGCGTTGAATAATTTATTGTACATACGTTAACTTGTTCTGAAT